ATGAGCTCTACAACCAGTATGAGTTAAAGTGAGTTAGTTTATATTAGAAATATTATTCTATTACAAAACTTAAAAATTCTATTAAAAGCCTATTATTCTTTTTAAAGCACAGCATGTAGTTTATTAATACATAGAGATGGCATTAGCCAAACCAGCTCGTTTTGGCTCTTAAGCTAAGCTGAGCTAGCTTGAGCTAGCTCTGAACAATCACATGACTTGGCCCAAATCAGACCTGAGCTAGTTATAAACTTAACTTAAGAAATACACATATAAACTTGCTATAAAAGTTTTTCTTGCTTGCATTATTAATGAATCTAATTAGTGTTTCTACAAACCAACTTAGAAGTAAGCTCAAGTTTAATACGAATTTAAACTAAATCTTAACTCAACCTTGAGTTGGTGGTAGAAATTGGACCCTCTGGATATACTGATAATTATATAGATATTGGATAACCTCGGTATTACAAGTCAGACCCAGATAGCTAATTGGATAAATTCTCTATTGTTATCACATAATTTTAATAATCACAAAATTTCTATTAAAAACTTTCACTTATATGACATCAACCTAAACCAAGATTATATAAATTGAAGATCAGAAAGGTCTCTAGACACTTATCATTTAGGAAATTTGTATATACAAATAATTCAGACATTGTATATATATTCAAATAATTTGGTAAGTGCAAGTTCATATGAATAGTAAGTGTTCGAAGACTCTTCTTTGAGGTCTGGTTTATAAACCAACATTTGTCTGGCTAATATAAATCAATGACCTAGTAATTATGTATAATTAGAGTAGTGACTACTTACGGCATTAATATAGTACTACCAGAGTTATATTTCCATCAGAATAATGTAGTATACTGTATAACATTACTACTTTGAAAAATTTTGCTGGCTAATTAAATTTCAGTAAATACAAAAAAATCAATAGTTTTGTACATACAAGATGGTTCATGCACTTTACACAATTATAATCAATTTTTATATATCATCCAACCAAGTAGCTAAATATACATAACCAAATCCTCTTTTGCCAATTTTTTAATATTAGATACTATATAAGTTCTCATCTATACGTTATTTCAAAGTAATACAGTTTAACCTCTCTATAGTCACACGCTATATAGTCACACCTCTATATAAGCACCCAATATTGTGTAATGAACTTAAATATAGTAAAAAAAACCTCTTTATAGTCACAAATTGCTTATAATTACTATCACAAAAAAATTTGGATTTTTTTTATCAATTTTATTAGTAAAAACCCTCTTTATAGTCACAAATTTTGACTAAATATAGACTACAAAATCTGATTGGCCAATATTTATATTTATACTTATTTAAACTATTCTATTAAAAATTCTTAAAGGTTTGACAGTAAATATTTTTTTGATGCAGTGGTTCAATTTAATTGAAACAACCACCAAAATGTTTGTCTTGATGAGATAATTCTAATGAGTCCAAGATTATTAAAATTCAATCACAGGCTTCTGTGATTATTAAGGATTTGTATTACTTTATATAGTTAAAAATTGATTAAATTTAAATATCTTAGTTTAAAATCCTTAATAATCTTAGCATCTTGCAATTAGATTTAGATGATTTGGACTCTCTAAAATCATCTCATTGAGTCAAATACTCTGGTAAACATTTTATCCAAATTAGTTCACTGGATCAAAAGTTACTTAGGGAGGTGTCAAATATCAGGTGATTTTTTAGGGGGAGGGGTCAAAAATTTTGGAAATTACATATAAAGACCTGACATTTTTATATATAAAGGTTGGGGTAGACCACTGATAAAAAAAAATCAAGTAATAAATGACAGTGCCCTTACTATCAAACATTTTAAAATTTTTAATAGTATTTCAAATATACACAAATATATTACTTATTGGCCTTTGGTCATGTGACTATAAAGGTATTTTATTTATAGTCACACTTCTATATAATCACCAAAATAGGGTGCAACCAACTTGTGATTATAGAGAGGTCTGACTGTAGTTGATTTTCTAAATCCAATATAGTTAACTATTATAACTGCATATTTTTTGGTAAAAGTGTATTTATAGAATCATTTATGAAGTATAATCTACATATAATAATTATGTGCATTTATCATTACTGAGAAAGTACATGTAAAGTGCAATTGTAAAAAAGTCATATATGAGCACTATCAATAGAAAACCTGTAATCAGGCTTTCAATATTTAGTAGGCTTTCTGTATATTATCTATAAACAATCTATCATCAGAATAGATAGCATGCAGAAAGCTAACTAAATATAGAAAGCCTGATAACAGGTTTTCTATTGACAGTACTCATATAGAGTGCCAACTATATATCATTTATCACAATAATAAATTATAGGCTATATTAGGATGTGCTTTATTTCGGGATATCTATAGTGCTAATATCGAGAACATAAAATTTATTTTTGAAAGATTCAACTTTCAAACTAATTCTCATAAACATTATTTCGTGCTTATATAGTAATTTTGTTTAATGAAATCTGTTCAATTGAATACTCAGGGTTTTGAGCTGATGCAATCATTAATATTCTCATTTCTATTTGTTGAGATTACATACCAAATACTATACTTTAAATATGTTATTATAATTACAATATATACTTTTGCCATATTTAGGTACTTTAATCTTTTATATCATTAAAAATTTATTGTAATGCTCACTGACCGAATAGAAAGTAATCTGAAGAGTATTAGTTACATCAGCAAATTTAATAGAGTATAATATTGTACAATAATTTATGAAGCGTAAGAAAACCGTAATATAACGTAATAACTTTTGCAAAATTGCAAAATATACAATTACGAAATATTACATAAAATTATTATGTAATATTATGCAAAAATTATGCAATATTACGCAAAAATTTGAAATATTTCGAAACAGATTGAGATAAATATCTATGAAATAAACGAGCAAAATAATTCGCGACGATTTGAATTATATTAAAACGATTGATTTTGTTAAAAATAATTAAAAATAGCTATCAGAAAATTAAAAGTGTGAAATATTTCAAAATAATGTAAAGATTGTAAGAAAACCTAAATATTACGTAATTGATTTACAGATTGCAAGAAAAAAAATATAAAGTAAAAAATTTTGAAATATTGGAAGTATACAAATAACTTAATATTATTTTAGAAATTTCGGAATATTTCAAATATTACAAATATTAAGTATGAAAATATTACGCAATAATTCAAAATAATACAAAAATATTTAAATAAAATAAAAATAATTAAAAAAGATCAATTCATTTTATTAGCCTTGATATTAATAAAGACAGAAATAAAATAAATATTTTAAAACTATTCACATTATTTCGAAAATATTAAAAATATTAAAATATATTTTAAATAAGTATAGTAAAGACAAAGACACAAGAATATTTAAACTATTAGATTTTATTTCAAATAGACATTTGCTTAATATTATAAATTAAAGTATATAGTTATTTATTTAAATATTTTAAATAATTTCTAAATATTATTTAATTTGCTTTTATTTCTATTAATACTTTGTTAGCTTCATGATTTTTTCAAATAAATATATATTTCGCAATATTTCGCTTTTTAATACTAATATATTCTAATCACTTAGCTACATTTAAGATAAGCGAAATAAATAATTAAATAAATTTGCTGATAGAATTTAATATAATCGTAAAGATTTATTAACACAACTAATACTTTAATAAAGTAAATATCTACAATTTTAGAAAATTATTCGTCAACTCATAAAATAATTCAAGTGTTTTGCTTTATTGCAAAAGAATAACAATTATTAAAAACTTAATAAAAATAAAAAGTAAATATATTTTGACAATATAGAATTTTAAAATTTTGAATTTATCGAATCATTTTGTTCTTTGTTTATTCATTAATACTTTTTATGTATAAATGTTTCAATTAAATCAAAAACTTTTGAAAAGTTTAAATTTATTTACAATATTTAAATATTTTAAGGTCTTTTCATTTACTATCTTCATAATTTATTTTTTAACTTATTTTAATTTATTCGAAATATTGTGATTTCTATTAAAGTCCATTTTATTAATTCAATGATTTAATTACTAAAAATGTAAAATTTTACTTTTATTCAATTCAATTAGACCCCTTACATATCAATTATTTTAGTACTAACTAATATTTGTTTGTAAACCCCGATTACATAAAAATCTAGAATGTTTCTACATAACAATAAAAGAATGCACGATATGCATGATAGTCTAGTTTCTATAAATAGCCATTGTTAGTTTTAAGGTAGATTAATTTTTTTGCCTATATTAAATATAGTAATAAAAGGTTAAAAGAATAATAGTTGATAGGAGTTTTTATATTTAAGGTAATTGCTTTATTGCGCATTGTTTTAAAAGTTTCCAAATTAGTTCAGGAGTTGTTAAATTTATTTTAAAAGTACAACGGCATTTAAATTTCAATAGAGCGTAATTTATCTAATGTATTTAATATATTAAATAACTTAATAAATTTTAATATTTGAATAAAATATTGATTACTTTAGATATAGTGAAATATTTGATCGCATTTGAATAATTATTTTGCTGGCATATTTGATTACTTTGGAATTTTAAGCATGGTTGACGATCCATTTGATTGGCTAATATGTTACACAAAATCTACATATACTTGAATAAGAAACGTGCTACCTTCGCTCATATACAAACTAGTCACCCTACATATTAAGTATATATGAAACTTTATGGTCGCTTTAGTTATTTGTTCTTCTATATACAGGAAAATTTAATCAAGTATTATCAGATTCAATAAAGACTTTTATAATATGGGTATTTTCAAAAAAAATCGCAGTTTAGCGGGTTTAGTAAAGTTCTACCTCTTATTTGATATACTTACTTAGAGCTTACGCTAAAGAATTTTTTTTAGATCAGTTGTTTTGAAACATAAAGGCTGTCGGTTGAAAAATTTTACTAATGAATAAGTTTTTATTTTACTAATTGTTCATTTCGCTAATTTTATTTTGTAAGTCTAATTCCAAATCTCTATCAATTTCTAGTTGACTGTCATCCTCTTTGTCCAGATCAGTCTCATCCGTATCATTCTGTTCATCAATTAGTTCTCTTATCTCTACATTTGTCTTTGCATTTAAATCTTTTAAAATGAGTTAACATTCTGCCATATACCATCCTTAAAATAATTTAAGCAAGGCCTGCACTTATTTTCCAATTTGTTGTAACATTCTATGTGAAACCCGTGCCCACATATTAAAATAATTCCCTTATTGGTAATGAGTTTCGTGCAGCAATAATCACAACCATCAGATAAAGGGGGCGATGGAGTGCTATATCCAGATGGCATACTTGTTGTTTTCAATTGTCCTAAATTTGGAAGGTTATAAGTGGTCTGTAGATTTTTTTTTGTTCATTTTTTGAAAGATGAAATTTTGTTGCTAACTAAATTTGTCTCTTCATTTTTTTTATAAATTTCTCAAAATTGAAAAAGAAGAAAGTGACACGTCTTATTAGTCAAAAATTTTAGATCTTGTGGAGTATACGGATATCAAGTCCTAGTTAAAAACATTTCACGAAAGGCTGAATATTTATGGTAATCCAAAATAAGAGCTTGCCTTCGTATATTTTCAGCACTATCATTTGATGATGTTGTTGCCCGTATTCTACTGTGCATATTTTCTACCTAGTAATCGTTAAATTGAATTAAATTTTTTTCTAAAGCTTCTTTCATTAGATGTCCATTCTTTTCCTAATAAAATAGGTCTGATAAAAAAGCAAGTGGAGCTTTATTATAATTCTTTCGCTTCCAACGTAATGCAAAGGTCCAAATACAGAAGATTGTTTCTACATAGTCTTCAAAGGCGCCAGACTGAAATAGTAATGTGTAAATATCAAGGGCTGCTAGTATAATATTATCAAGAAGCTCCATAATTACTTGATACTCGATATTTTTTTGCAGATAAGTAAATTTTTTTATTACATTATCTTTAATTTTAATCCATGCAGAGAATGCCAACTCTAATAAAAGCATTGTTCTCCAGGGCCTGGGCTTTTTCGCAAGCTTTTTCTTTTTCCAAACACATCATGAAAAAGCTTTTCGAAAAATGGGTAATAAATTTTCATAGTATGCTCTCTTGTATTAAGAGAGATATGTAGTGGCCCAAGAAGAGAAACAAACGATACCACCTCTGGTTGCACTAACAAGTTGTTATTACCATTTTGTAAATGTGTTAGTGCTTTACGAATAAAGAGTTGGCCCGGCCAATCAGCAACAATTGGCGCTACATTATTGGTAAGGCAACCTATTTCCTTATTATAATTTAAAATTATATTTAGCGCCTTAAGATAATCTTGTACAGAATGAAGTTGCTGTTCTTGTATTTCTACTAAAATTGCATCTTTTATTCTGCGTTCTTCTTTTCGTTCTACAATGGCGTTATCATAGGTATGTATTGTAAATTGATCAATCCTATCAAATTCAAATAAATTTGAATTAGTCCATTGGGCTTTTCGCTGTGAATATGAAAGGTCGAAGCATTTTTGGTACTGATCTATGAGTTTTTTGCAGATAAGTGGAGCCTCTATATTATTTGAATTATGAACCGATACACTATTAAATATAATTGGCACCGGACCTGACCTTTCAACTTTTTTACACACACTTGTTGCCAGATGAGCAGCTTCTGATAAAAAAGTGTTATTTGGATGGCGGTTTTCATGGATATTATGGTAATCATCTAAATTATATATACAAAGATGATTTTTATTATTAGTAAAGTATTTTTTTTACTCGTGTTGAATGCTTATCCGTGACTTTTTTTTATAGTTATATACAGTCTTATAGGCAGCTGAGATACCGGCATTACTTAACGCATTGATTGCATCACATGTTGTTTCAGATCCCGCAAGAAACAAGGCAAGTTCTAACTTAAAACTGTTAGCATGTTTGTTACGCAATCCAGCCATTAAGTGCAAAATTACTACGACTTTTTTTTTATCCTCATTTCTGTTGTAAGCTAAACGATTATATGGTACTAATATATCACACATTTCAGCAAAAAAGCCTCTTAAATTAGAATCTCCATTTTCAAGCATTTTATCAAATTCATATGAATTGAGGACAAGACCGTTTTGTCTATTTTTATATAGAACGGATATCATTTTTTTAACACAATCACCAAATGACAATTTAGTCGATGAATTTGGAACAGATGCACTTTTATATTCGGTATATCTATTTTCAACAATAATCATATAATGAGAATTACAAACTTGCTGGCCTACACGTAAGTATGGATATTGTTGAATGGTTTTTTTATCAAATGCTTTTTTCATAGCTAATTGAGTTAGACATCGGAAATTATCCTGATTTTTGTCACAATTATAAATTGAACATGGTCCAGTGTTAATTTTTTGCCTTGGCATCTTAGTTTGAAAATTTAATTTCGAGAATTTTATTATTTAATTTTAATATTAACGCGTTTAATATGCGCGATACAATTTTGTAATACTATGCAATTTTTGTAACACAACCTAAACTACAAAACATAATAAAATATTTAAAAACTAATAATTTAAAATTCATTTATTACATATTTAACAATTGTTTTATATAGAAGTCAGGTTAAAAATTTTCACGTGCAGCACAGATTAGACCATACAAAATTAAATAACTGTTTCTCATAACAGAATTCTAAAAGTGACCCACCCGCCCAGCTTTTAACTTTTAAATCACAAAAATTTTATGAGTTTTTTTTGTCTAAATAATATTTAAAACATATAAAAATTTTTATTAAAACCTACCCGGAAGTGTTTATAGTAAATAACTTATAAAATTTTGTATCGAATATTTACAAGCTGACCCAGCCGGGTTATGAGAAACAATTAATTAACTTTATATGGCCTTAGTAGTATAACAGTCAAACTTCTCTAAGTGCTCCCTCGTAATCATAGTAAAAAAAGGCAAAATATGCACTTAAAGAGAGCTTGCATTTAGAGAAAGTAAAATATAATATTAATAAGTTGAGACTACGTATATATTAAGTATATTTATAATAGTGAGCCAATCAAAATCACGAAAAAAATAATTGATCATCAGCCAATTAGGTGGATATTCAACCATGCTGGAATTTTACTGAAAACATTTAAAATAACTTGATATCGACCTTTCTAATCTTTATAATTTTTTCATTAAATTCAGATTTCATTTCATCATCTTTAAAATTCTCTTACTTTCCCTCGCAAATTCTAAATCTTCATCATTTTTTCTAATTATATTTTTCTATAATTACTCATTTATTTCTTAACTTTTCGCATGTTTTTGAATATATTTTATCTTTTTCAATATCACTTTATTTTATTTTATACATTTTTTATTATTTTTTTATTTTCATTACTTTTTTATAATTTTTTTTTATTTTTGTATTATCTTCTTATCATATTCATAATGGCTTCGCAAAGAAAGACCAAAGAATCCAGATTAAATAAAATTTCTAACCAAAATTTTTATAATTCACTTGTTGCTAGCACTCATGTACTACAAGTTCTAACTGCTCAGTCAGGTTATCATTCTGACGAAAACGTTCGCAGTACTTCGCAAGATATCCATGTTTATTCAGAAGGTTAAATTTCTGTAAAATTGTTTTAGTTTATTTTATTAATTTTTATTTATATTATTTTTTTTTTAAATACTTTTAATATTTTTTAAGATAATGTTATATTATTGGCTATTATTGACAAACTAAATGAAATATCTGATAAAGTTGACCACATTGAAAGTAAAATTGCCGATATGGATTCAAAAATGATAGATAATTTTAATCTTACTAAAAATATAGATTTCATTAAAGTAATTATACTATATTTTTATATATTGTGTTTAATTAAATTAATTTTTTAATAATAATTATCTTT